AAAAACAGGGTTTACACAAGGAGACACTAGAGAAGAAACAACAACGGGGTGGTGAGACAACCACACAGGACAACACATAAGACGACAACAAACCAACAAAGACCAAGGCAAGCACAGAGACTTAAATACACACTGAACTAATGACAAACTAGAGACAGGTGGCACAGGACAAACAGGTGAAACTAACAAAGGCAGGAAGTCCAGGTGGAAAACACAGGAGCAGGAGCAGAAACTACAAAATAAAACAGGAAACAGAGAGGAACACAGAAAGAAACAGAGAGGGACACAGAAAGAAACAGAGGGGGACACAGAAAGAAACAGAGTGGAACAAGGAAAACACCAGGAGCAAAACTATAACATTAAACTAAAAACTCAGAACACTAATCCAAACCTAAAGAAAACACAGGTAGACACAGTAAACATGTCCATAATTGAGGACAAAACACAAGTCCTGACATGTTACCTCCAAAATGAATAAAAAAGGAGCAAAAAACAAAAAGAATGTTGGGTTTCATACAGCTGAGACAATTTAACAGGGTTTTCATGTGTAATTAGGCAAAGACACAAACTGTCGGACCCTCCAGTGGCTTTGTTGCAACACCTTTAAATACAAGCCAGCTCCGCGGTGAGGAATGCAGTGAGACCTCGTCGAATTGATTTAGCCTGGCCGGAGAATGTCCCTTTACCGTGCACAGCTGTTAATATACCCGCTCTGTTTTCACGACTGTTTAAAGTATGTTTACTTTCTACACTGATCTGATCAGTTACAAGAATGGCCATGTGGGAGATAATGAGAACCGAAGGAGGAATTTACAGCTCCTGAACTCGTGCTCCTCTCTTTTCTACCACATCCATTTAAAGCAGAAAACATTTGACTGGGTATCCAGAGAATGACAGAACAGAGGGCTGGAAACCCAAGACAATGCATGAATTTAGGACAAACATAAAAAAATAGTAATGTTTGAGCTTTTACAAGAATACACTGATGATGTCATATCTATTACACCCTTCTATTTAACATGGAGGACCATGGTAGCTGCATGAATGGACAAACATGACCATGTGGACATATGGTATTTAAACACATACACAGCAGGGGCGCTCACATGGGTGTGTCCTCTCCTATATCCATATGTGATGTGGCATAAGCTTAGACGTAAGCGTGTATTTGTGTGCGTTTGTCCCTATGTATAGTACACAACACAGTGTCACATGACTGTTCACTGATGTCCTGGACTCTGCTTTTCTTATCAAGGGCTACTTCAATTTTTGTATCGTCCCTCAAGGGCCACAGCCAACGGTTGAACCCTTATGTCACATTAACATCTCTAATGTGATGGTTGGAACTGCTTCTCTTCACCGAGGCATCTGATGTCAGTAACTGAGGACATGTAACGGAACTATATGCATCACCAATTCGGTAAAGGACCGAGATAAGGTGTGTCTGTAACCTATTTGCTGGAACAGGAAAATAAACTCTTTCAAGTTTGACCTGCCTCCTTGAAGTGTGTTGACATTGGGTTTTTTACAACAAGGCAAAAGTATTTCTGTTGGACACATTAAGTGGCTTTTTTGTAACGTGGCACAAGATAAAACTGTGACTACAGACTGTATATACAGATACACATGACTGCCCAAAAGAGAACCCAAAGTTCATTTTTCTCAAAGCTGGTTTCTGTCATTTAAGGTGAATCTTATTACACTGATGTATGTTTTCATTTTTAAGCGAAGTTTTGATGCTATAAAAATAGGGTGAAACTCCAAATCTGCAAGATGATGACATTCATATATTCTGGTTATTTTTACTTCTTTTCTGAATAGTAGGAGGAAGTGGAGACACGTCATCCATCTTTGCATACAGTCTGTGGTAGTACCATGAATTGCTTGTAAAGACTGCAATTCCTCCCTTGTATCACACTTGGCATTGATTCCACTCACAAAAATGAGGAATTGGTTCATATTTGCTGTTGTATTATTGCTGACAAGAGAGTTAATCTGAGTACTAGATCTCCTGTTTTTTTTTTCATTATCTTTCCTTTTCCTTCCTTTCCAATGTCTTGTGCCAAACTGACTTTTTAAAATTGACTTTGGTTCTTGCAGCTCTGCAGCAACAACAAGGCTCCCCCACAAATTATATCTCTGAGGTTTCAGCTTTTACCTATTATCTGGTACACTACAAAACTCACCTGTGTAACATTGTCCCTGCATAAATTTGGTAAAAGCTACTTTTTGGGCGTCAAACTTCACCAAAGAGACTTTTTCTAAATGAATTTGTCTTGTGACCCTTTTAACTCAGCTGTAATAAACCTGAGATTGCCTGTTTTTGTCTCCCCATAATTGCACAGTGATGTGTATTTTACTTCGACAAAAAAATCATTGTGTGTGCAACATTCACTTTTCTTCACAGTCACCAGGATACTTGTCAGCGAAAAACAAGAAGCTTATGTATGTGTTTTCTTCACGTGGGCTCTGATCTTATCACACACATGGAGGTGACCATCCTGAAGGACATGTTAAAAAAAAAATATTTCTGATTTGTGTGTTTTTTTTAAATACTGCCTCAGAGATATTGGTAAAAAAAAAATCTTAAGATAATTGATGACATTTTTTATTAAATACTGTAGTGGTAATGGTAATATAATAATAACTAACATCAAAACAGCGTTCTGAGTCAATCATGTGACAAGAACATCTCAGTGCCTGAGAGTGATACAAGAGAAAGACCCCTCCTCTCTGTTGCTGTCTGGTTTCCAAGCACTCCTCTCGTACATGATCCGTGTGGTCACAAGAATATCCTGAGCACTCTGACCTGTGACCTTTTAAACATCAGTCCAGTTACTGACAGTATCATGTTACTTGTAAGTAGAGTGCATTCTATTTATGATGCTTTATGTATTTATACACAATTGCATACTTCCTATAACTGTTGGGTTTAATATGACAGCTTCTTACTGTGCCACCTATGAGAGTAGGTATTCAGTTAAATTTAGTTTAAAAACCAATAAATAAATAGAATTAAAGAGGCACAGAGGTAATGACATCTGATATACTGAGTGGCCACATGGCTTTCATAGCACTGCCATACAAGCCAGTAGCCAGTCAGATTTACTTTCAGCCTCTCTCAACATCATTGTGATTAATAGGCTGAATCACTTGATGACACCAACGTAAAATTGAAGTTATTATTTTCATAACCAGTCTCACAGAGCTCAAATGTGATGGTTAAACTGCTCCGTGTCCCAAAAAATGTAACTGAATTGAATACCTTTTTATTATAATGTATTCTTCTTCTAGCCATGGATTTTATTATTGTTCCTGTGAAGCACTTTGTAACTTTGTTTGGATCAGTGCTATACAAATACAGTTATTATTATTATTATGTTTCAATCTTTTATCTAAAAATGTATACGATAAAAAATCCTAAATATTATCCTATAACTATAACATTTACCTCTTTGAGACTTATCTAGACACTGAGATCCATATTAAATAAGAAAACCCCGAAAGGGGTTTCATGTGGGAGCTGCCTCACACAACAGTTTTGTAGTTATGTGGCTTTACACACATTTATATAACAGTCTGCAATACAGGCATTGTGATAGTAACAGTATTTGTTGTGAAATCTATGAGTATCTCAATACATTTTCTGAGGGTCACTCAGTGAATGATTAACAGTATCTCTATTGAAGTCATTTTCACACTGGTGGCATTACTATGTGTGTAGTGTTTCAATACCTCTTCTGTTATGCACAAAGCCTAATCCAATAGACAGTGAACTTGTACTCTATAAGAGATTTTTTGTAACAAAAACATTAATAAAACATGCACCACACACACTTTAAAATATATATTTAGAATTAAAATCCCACTTGTTCAGATATTTCAATTCAAGTACATCCCAAGTTTCAAGTTTGTCTTTCCAGCCTGTCACAAGACTAGAACTGTTTTACATAATCTATAGGTTGTTTGCTTTAAGATAAGATATTAATACAGGACACAGTGAAACTGAAGTGCTTTCTCACAAGAAATTGCTAAGCAAAGTTTACTGTGTAGGTAAAAACCTATAGGTCACTGAAAAAAGTCCTGCTTTATACAGTTAAACAGAATTTGGATAACTACTTGAACCCTCACCTTGAATAAAACATATTTATTTTGACCTGTAAATGTAAAAGTGTGCTGCAAATGCAACGTACTCCATGAAATGAGATTGTTGTGCATACGGCTCTGAGCAGTAGGCCTTGGAGCCCAATAGGCAACATTTTGTCACCCACTGTGTCAAATCAAGATGCGTATCTGCATCAAAATCAAACTTAATACTCAGAAAACACGTTGTCTTTCAAGGAACAAAGATAATATCAAATAATTCGATGTCTGCAGAGAAGTACTCTTCCTGTGGTTATGACTATCTGTTTTATTGTCTCCAGGTCAGGAGCTGGGTGTTCACAGATGAAAGTCATCGGGAAAGAAAACGAGTTCGATTTCAGATTTATCCAACTGAAAGAATCAATCTATAATTTACCACATACACCAACTGGGTGTGTCTTATAAGAAAGGAATTCATTGATCTGTAATGGATCTGATAGTAACGGTGCTCCCAGGTCACTGCGGGGTTATGACAGTGATATTTATAAAGTGACTCATCAGGGTCAGCAGGACACATTCCTACACACTGGCATACACTCCTCTGGAAGCTAAATCTATTTGGCATTTACCCCCTGCTCATTTTTTTCTGGTGGTCTGCGGTGTGCGTGTAAGCGTGTGGTGTCTGTGCGTGCGTGTGGCCATGTGACAGTCCGTCCTCAGTGGTCCAGCCTCCTTTTTGCTGTTACACTCCCTTTGCAGTAGCATGGATCGTATTACTGGCTGCTCTCCCTGCACCGCTGAGCCCACCGCCTCTGCACCAATCACAGCCTGCCCTTACCTACGCGCACATGCATGCACGGACGCACAGACGCGGACCCTCACACACGCGCGCACACTGTCATGATCCATCGCTCCGGTTCTCTGCTGCGTTCACATGTGTCCCCAACGACTCCGCGTAGCGCTCACTGCGCCAAGGTGAGCGTGTTCTGTGGGAACCGATGTGAGCGGCTCACCGCCTGACTGACTGACCCAGAGAGAGAGAGAGAGAGAGACAGAGAGAGAGAGAGAGAGAGACCATCTTTCCTCCCTCACAACCCATCTTCCCCTCGCCTGTTAGAGACCGCAGCGCCAGCCGTTCGCTTCGGCATCTTTCTCTTCTCCTCCTCCTCCTCCCCCTCATCTTCCTCGCTGCGTCTCCTCTTCATCCAGAGGAGGAACCGGAGAGCCCCCTCGTGATTTTGTGGAAATACATTTTTTTGCTCTATTTTTTTCCCTGCTGGGTGTTGGTAGCGCGCAGTTGGTGCGCGCCTCTGCAAATTCCGGTGAATGGTGGATTTGGCAAACATGGAGAGCGTGGAGAAGGAATGCGGGGCCCTCGGGGGTCTGTTCCAGGCGATTGTCAACGACATGAAGGTAAATAAAAACCTGTTCTTTCTATCGTTTCCCGGTTCCACGGTCAAACACGTGCCTGAGAACAATCTATCCAATATACGCACACAACAATGAGCTGCTATTGACTTTGGTTGTCTTTGACATGAAGATACAGTGACGGCACCGTGTTACTGACAGCGATGCGGCGGCCCAGTGGGTTGTTGGGGCGAAACCCGCCCCTCCACCTCCTCCATCCCCAAGTTGTTGGCTGCGTTGCGCATGTAAACGTCAGTGTACCCATAATCGGACGCACTCAACACGACATTCAGCTCCCTGCCACCGTAAAAAAACAGGACGTGCACAGTCGCAGATCATCCAGTCTGATGTTTTCACTGTGGTTGCAACGATGCGCACATTGTTTGGGTTATTAGAGAAGCTCTGAGGTCGGCCTGCCCATAAAAACCCTGTAAGTGATTGGTGCCTAAATAAGCCAGGAGCAACAATAGCTCGGCACATTCCGTTACACAGGCCAACCTATACATGTGGACCTGGGTGGGTAATTGCTTGAGATGCTTCTTCATCATCTTCATCATCATCCTCTTCTTGGTTACTCCCCGAGCTGAAGCCCACAGACATGACCCCTGCATTTTCAGCCTCGCTACAGTATCTCCCTCGCCTTTTCTCCGTGGTTTCTGTGCGTCTCTGTGAGAGTGCAGCGTCATTGATTTTCTGTCAGGCTGATCTGGCAGCAAAACATGAAGGCGTGAGAAGCGGTGCAGCCGTCAGACGCCCGGTCTCCCTATATCCTTGCCTCTCAGTCTGTCTGCCTGCCTGCCTGTCTGTCTGAACCGGTCTGTCAAACATTCTGCAGCTCCATGGCTCCAGCATGGCACCACCAGGCTGCACAGTAGGTCAGATACATGCACTTGTGCTGCCTCAACATGCCTTGGATGAAAGCTTCCATCATGGTACATGGTTCATGATACAGTCTGTCTGTGCCGTCAGACACCCCTGCAGCTCTTTAGGTCTGTCTATCATTCCAGATCTTCCCCCTCTTTGTCTCTCCAGATATTCTGGCCTGTGCAGCCCCACATCATTGACGGGGATACTGCTGCATGAGCATCAATATCAGTAAATGCTTTGTCCCTGAGTGATGAAATGTTGACAGACATTTTTGTGTGACCCCAGTGGTAGAGGTCACAGTCAGCTGCACTCCCTGTAAACAACAAGGAGAGATGATTGCTTTTCTGTTGTTACAGTGACACATGTGACAGTTCCAGGTTACTTGTACAGAACATTAAACACAGAGCAAAAACTATGTCCAATTGTAAATGTCCTGTAGAATATAGAAGTATATTGATTGATTTAATTTCAGTTCATCTTAATCCAGCATTTCGTATATAAAGCAAATGCAATACAATAAACAATAAACGCTGCTTCTATAACGCTGGCAGATGATTATGGCAGAGTTTTAAATCATAGAAGTAAAAGATGAAGCGGCAGCGGTAGAAATACTCTGACTTATAGTGGCCAGTATGCATCAAGAGCACTGGATACTACATTTCCCACAATGCATGAGAGAGAGCTTCGATTAATTTGTGTTTGGTTAACATGGAGGACTAACAGGATGCACCCCACCGCGCAGATCATAACCAGAGGCCGTTTCAAGGATTCTGTGCTAATGGGAAAATCCTTATTCTGCCAAATGTGACCATTTAGGGACAATAACAGACTTGTCAGACTCACTGTCTGAAAACCATTCGGGTTGGTTGCCTAGCAACATCAGCACCTATGACACAGCATCTGTGATGCTTCCTCACAGAGTTGGATGCAGGGATATATAGCAGGTACTGCGGTACTAGATTTCAGAATCATATCTTCTTTTTTTTAAAGAACGTATTTGTCAGAGTTTTCTTTTGGCACCCCCTCAGATGCTTTTCTTCAAACAAGTTTTTTTTTTTGTTTTTCACGGGTTGGATTTGCACCAGATGTACAGTAGCTGAATTGCCCCCTGGAGTACAGAGCAACATGAAGTCACGTTGTAGTTTATAGGAAGCTGTGGTTTCAGCTGACTCTTTAACATCTGCCAGAACCAGCTGACATGATCAGGCTGTCTTAAAAGACTTCTATTGATTTTAACACTTTTCACACTGTTTCTCCTGCTCTGACGCTCAAACAATAACAGTGCAGAGTATTCAGTGTTCGGAGAATACCACTTTTCCCCGCTTGCCCTCTTCAACTTCTTCATTCATTATTCACTTGGTTTTTAATGGTCCTCATGTTTGCGTTATCCAGCTCACTCCTAAAAAATATGGGTCACTACAACCTGGGCCAAAGGAAAAAAAAAAACACCCATTGTCGGAAGTGATGTCGGTCTGGAGTGGATGAAACCCTGAATCCCAGAGGAGACGATGAGTGAATGTTAGTGAGTGGATGAGAATCATCGAGTCATCAGCCCCTGGAACTCACTGTGGCTCAAATGTGGCTTCAGTGTTTGCAGCTCAACAAGGTTGACAGTTTCAATGCTGGATATCAGTAACATGTTTGTGACGTGAATAGTACAATTCTTATCAAACCAAAAAGCTAGATGACATTGAAGCTCTTATTTTACTTCTGTTTTACTTTATGTCAGAAAGTGACTTTATATGGATTTGGGTAGCCACTCGATGGTATGTCCGAGGGTCTGTGAATGCACCTCGTAGGAAGAGTTTTAAGCAAAAAATTTGGTGTAAATGACAACGTTTTGTGTTAAATATAAATGTCGGGACTTGCAGACTCTTGGATGACACCATCCCTCTATCAGCGCAGTTGTGAGTGGATAATGAGTGAATTACATTTTTTCAGTGAACTATCCCTTTAAGTGACACTACAGTTGCTTTTAATCATTTTTTTCTTGTTGTTCACTGGCACATCTTGGTCACAGTGAGTTTGTAAATCCACACATCTCAATGCAAATTCAAAAACAAAGTTACAAAATACATACTAAATACATTAGAACAATTATCTTTGTCTTAACTTTTAATATCATGGTGTCTTTTATTCAATGGCCTAACAGATCATCACTGCAGTTTTTGCATTACTTAACTTTCAGGGCATCTTCACACCTTAAATCTGGACCATGGTGCAAACCAAGAGTCATGTTTTTTTTCATTGATTGATTAATATTGGTTTCAATAATTAATATGACACATGTCCTATGTGGCCTGCACCTATATTTGATATTGTATTCACTCACTTTTCTGATTACAGTGAAAAAAAGCCCTAGTCTTTCTGTTTGAATGACGAAAATGTATGAACCAGCAAAATATACGAATCCTCCTCATTCATACATTAAATCATCGAAGACTACAACCAATCCTTCTGCTTCTTTTTCTCCTGTTTTTTGATGCTGTCTCTACTTCCTACAATTGGTCTGACAGTCTGAACTATACAAAAAAAGTGTTTTCATAATGCAAGGTAGGTGTGAAAGTGCCCTCAGACACCTATTGATGGACTCTTCTTCCAGATTGACAGACTGACTTTCCAAGATCCAGCAGGAACTATCAATGCACTCTGAAATCAGGACGGTTTCCGTCCTATGCGTGTGACGTAGGATCAGTTCAAGCAAAATTCAGCAATCTTTTTGGACTTCATAAGCAATATACCATCTGAAGTTCATTACAGACATTGATCTTTGCTAGTGGACCTGGTACTTGGTGTCTTTATGTGTCATGCAGGCTGACGAGTTCACACAAAGAGCCAAGCTAAATGTTGCAGTTCAGCAGCAGATTGACTCCACGCCCTTTAGAAAGCACTTTTTCTTCCGCTTATCCATCTTCCTCTTCCTCATCCTGCTCCTCCTCAGCTCCTCCCTTCCTCTTTCTCTCCAAAGCAGATCTTCTGCCCGAGGCGTCCAGTCGCTCCCTGTGTGTCTGCTCTGTGTGTCTGCTCTGTGTGTCATCTGTGATATGTACAAGCTGCCTATGGTCTGTTTTGTCTTGTATAGGGCCAATAATCCAAAATCCCCACGGTGTTCAGGTCAAATTGACCCATTTAAGATTACTAAACAAAAATTGTGTGTGTGTGCAATTTACCTGAAAGTTATGATACACAGCCTCAAGGAGACAACTACATAATGCCACACACACAAACACACACGAACACACACACACACAAACACACACAAACACACACTGACTCACTCACTCACTCACTCATACACAGGTCAAAGAGGGGTAACACAATGAGACACGGGGTCATGTTCCCGGTCAGCTGCCTGTGGACCAATTAATGCTGGTAGTGTGTTGACGACAAAAGCCGGAGGATGGAGTAAAGAAGAATATTATTTCCTGGTCCCAGAACAAACAACAGAGAAATCCTTTAAAGACATTTTAGTGTGTTTTTAACTAGTCACAGTTCTTCCCCCTTCATACCATGAGGGCAGGGAGATTTTGGGTGCAGGGGTGATTTTTCGTCTCAGACCTAAATAGCTGTGTAAAAAATCCTTTGCTATTTTGAAAAAAGGCTGCTATATATAATATAAATTTAAATAAAATAAAATTTGAAATCTTTTCCCCACCAAAACTGTATCAACACAACATATTTTGTGTTTGGTCTCAGGTGTTCAAATAAACTAGTATTTCATCATTTTTTATTTTTCACATTTTTGTTTTCCTTTGATACACTAGGGCAACAAAACTCAGATCATTAAGAAAACTGGTGCATTTGTTTGACATGGAGATCGTGACGTGTTTCTTTATCGCCTCTCTCTTGTGTCAATCCTTATTTGATCTGTTAAAACCATTAAGTTGTTGTTTTTTGTTTAAGTTGTGATTGTTTTTTTTATCATTCACAATAAATGCAATCATTTTATTTTTCATTCCGATAATATCCATGTTTTCTATTTTGAGATCAGATGCACAGTACAAATAAATACTTTTAGAAATGTTGGGTTTCTTTATAATATTGTCAGGTTTCCACCTTACTATGTAAAGTGCCTTGAGATAATATATATTGTTATTTGGTGCTAAATAAAATGAATTTTATTTTAGATCTATAGATGT